CCCCCCCCTCCCCCTGTTGCTGGTTGGACGTGTCAGGCGATTGAGTTCAAGCAGGGCGTCTTCTACCCTGTGGGAGGCTATCACACCGTCGCCAAGAAACTCCTCCAAATCGTTCGATCCCTCGGGGTCAAAGTCCACTTCAACACAAACGTCAAGGAGATCCTCGTCTCGCGCACACTGCTTTCCCCAAGCGGCTACGAGGCAGAAGGCGTGCTCATTGACAAACCTGGCAGAGACGATGAGGCGGCCAAACTGGAAGCGTCGCTTCCCAGGAGCAGGCTGAGGGACATGGGCAAGACGGCCATGATGGTGTCCAGCGACATTGTGGTGGTCAACGCGGACCTGCCGTTTGCGGAGGAGCATCTGCTCAAGACCCCCCCGGCTTTGCCGTCCTTCGCGCCATCGATAGGGAGGGATTTCTCACAGTGGGACTACTCCACCTCTGTGGTGGCCCTCTACTGGTGAGACATGCAGTGAATGCCCGCCCATCTTTTTGGGTTTCTTCTCCACTCACTGCACGGTTTTTCTTTCCTTCTTGGTAGGTCCTTCAAGGATCGGCTGCCTCTGAATCATCACAACATCTTCCTGTCGTCAGAGTACCGCACCAGCTGGGCGTCGCTGTTCGACACTACCAGCAATGCGGCCTTCAACGCGTCGGCCTTCAACTTCTACGTGCACGCGTCGTCCCGGACGGACCCGAGTGCGTGCCCTGAAGGATGCGACAACATCATGGTGCTCGTGCCGGTGCCTGCACTCGATGAGCGGATGTCGGGTGAGGCCATGGACGCGCGCACTCACTCACAATACAATTCACTGGATGCGTTGCTGCTGTGGGCGATGTGTGATGTGATGTGATGTGTTGTGGATGCAGCTGATGAGCAGCAGCGGTTGGTGGATCGGACTGTGTCTGATGCGCGTGAGGGCGTGCTGAGAAGGATGGAGGCCGTCCCTGGCATGGAGGTACCCTGACAGTGCACACACAGAAATTACTCATTCAGTGGTGACAAACGGCTGAATCAACATCAATGCTGTGCATGCTGATGGTTCCCGCAGAACATCCGGTCCTCCCTTCTGCATGAGTTTGTTCGGTCCCCGATGGACTGGAAACGGCTCTACAACCTCAGGCAAGCACCATATCATCCCATCCATCCCACTACAATCCATCCATCCATCCATCCATTCATCCATCCATCTCCTCTCTGTCTCGTCATGCAGGCGTGGTGCCGTGTTTGGCCTGGCTCACCCACTGAGACAGCTGGTAATCTTCCGGCCAGGCCCCAAGCACCCCACCATCGGAAATCTCTATGCGGTGGGCGCCTCTGCACGGCCTGGCAACGGGGTGCCGCTGGTGCTCGTGGGCGCCAAGCAGACGGCAGAGAGGATCGTCAAGGACTTTAGGCGACGGTTTGGGAGCGCCCGGTTCATTGACGATGACACGGGCGAGGGCGATAAGGGTGAGGATGGGGGCGGTGCCGCGACGAGGCGGCTCTTTTGGCATGAACGGAGGGGGAAGGAGGTTGAGGCCGTCAAGTGAAGATGTTTGAGCGCTAGGTAGACATCTGTGTGCCTGTCTGAGTGTGGTCTCATTTGTGAGCGGACCGCTCACATGCGAATCAACAATCCTGGATGGCATTGACCTTTCTGGTGTGGCGCAGAGTAGAATCAATGGGGTAGGGTCGGTGGTGTGTATAGCTGCGGGTGTGACGTTTGTGCGGGGGCCAGCACCTGGCCTGGATGCATTTGGCTATAATTGCTTTGTAGTATCACGACATCGATCATGACCACCATGAGATGAGAGACACTCATGTCATCTTGCAACCCTTCACTCACTCACACACCACACCGGGTCACACCACACCCCAGCAAGACGGGAGATGCAATTCAGGCACACAAGCAGGCAGACAGGCAGGCAGGCAGGCAGGAAGGCAGAGGTGCACTTGTACACCATTCCCTTCCATATCTGTAGGTAGCCACCCGGTGAAGATGCACAAGTAGAAAGGTGAGTGAGTCTGCTGAGGTACCTACGTCCTATGAGATGACATGAGTGAGTGAGGATGGGATGGCCACAGCGCATGTTCGCACCGCCTGCACGCCACGCCTACTGTACTGCACCGCACCGCATCCGATCAAACAGTCACACACGCAATACACCTACACACACACGGACTACGTACGGACCCTCCCTCTCCTTCTCCCTCTCCTCTCCCACCTGTCTAGTCTATCCCCCACACACATGGATGGGATGGGATGGTATGGTATGGTGGATGTCATGAGTGTACCCTACCTACCTACACGACAGACAAACACTTGGATAGGATGTGATGCGTGTCGTCATCTTATCCTGTGCCTACACCTACATCAACCCGACTGACGACACAAATATGCTCACGTGGATCTGCGTAGCCTGCACTAAATGGCCGGCCGAAAAAGGCTGGCTCAAAAATGAATGTGCGGCGCAGCTATCTAGACAGATATCTAGAGGGATGGATGCTACAAAGGACAGAGAGACAAATGATACATACAAAGAGATGCAGCTAGACACAAAAGGCCATTGAATTCCATTTCTAGCCCCCTGCCATCCCATCCCTTCGCATCGAAAGTCAATCGTACACACAAAGATAGATAGGCATAAGGACAGACAGACAGACAGACAGACCAGAGACACAAGACGCAACCAATACAATAATACATCGAACGAAATGCCCCCTCTTCTGTGTGTTTAGGCAGCTATAGGCCGCTGCGGCTGTTGAGGTACAGGTCCACAATCTGGTTTATCGTCAGCGTGTGGTCGTACAACGTCACGTCCTCCAACGCACCCTGATGGATAGATAGATAGATGACACACATCACATCACATAGACAACACACAGATATCGACACACGCACATGAGTTCCATTGCCACTCTCTCTCTCTCTCTCTCCCCAGTTACCTGAAAGAACCCCGTCCTTAACGTCGTCTCCTCCGCTGGCAGTCCTGCCGCCCCGCTGCCCGCCACGCCCCCCAATGCTCCATAATCCCCATGGTCAGGCAGCCGCCCATACGACACCTTCTCGCTCGCCAGCAGCCGCCCGTCCACATACAAAGACATTTTCTTGTGTCCGAAGGTGAAGACCCCGTGGTGCCAATTGCCCGGCTCCTCGCTGGGAAGGGGTCCCTCGGCAATGGTCTTCTTGTTGTGGTTGGTCATGACCGCCCTCAGGTCAGATCCCACCAGCTGCAGTGCGAGGCCGGTTTCCGGCCCGCCCTCCTCGTAGAGGTACTGCACGCCCTTGAGCCGGTCTGGGCGGAACCACAGGGTGAGCGACATGGCGGAGAAGCCCCGCATGATGACGTCCGAGGGGATGCTGATCTCCTGCGTCTGCCCGTTGAGGGTGAACGCCCTGTGGCCCTGCCGGCTGATGGCCACCGCCGGGCCGCCCTCGGCGTGCGCATCTGCGACCCCCAGGAGGTCTCTGGTGTGGCCGTGGAGGGACCAGTGGGATGTGATGCCGCCCATGGCCGCCATGTCCTCGTAGTTGGCGTAGCCCCTGTAAGGAGTCGCCTCACTCGGCCCGTCGAAGATGCGCACATTGTCGATCCGCCCGCGGAAGAAGCCCCCGCGTGTGCCCGCATCCGCCTTGTCACCGAAGGCACTCTCCGTCGCCCATGCGCCAATCGTGGCCGGCGAGAAATGCCGCTTCACCGTGGCGTACTTGGTCTTCTTCTCCCCGACCATTTTGCCGTGGATGAAGAGCGACAGCAGGCCCTGCCCGTCGTTGCCGTGCCACCTGAACCCCACTGGCGTGTAGTCGGTGCTGGAGAAACGGGCCGAGACGGTCACCATCTTCCCTTCGTGGGTGGCGACGGCCTGCAGGGAGCGGCCGTGCAGCCGCATGGCGAAGCCGTTCATCCTCCCTCCCTCGCTGTAGAGCATCTGGGTGTGGCCGATGGCGTCGGGCATGATGTCCATGGCCACGGCTCGGTGGTGGTCGCCCCCTTTCTGCAGCGACCGGTGGGAGATGTCCATGTACCCCTTGCCGTCGAGCACCAGGTCGCCGCTGCCCTCGAAAGGAATGTCGTGTGTGTCGATCTCCGCCGTGCCCTTCAGCCGCCCCCGGTTCTTGAAGAAGAAATCGTCCGCCGCCCCGAAATTGAAGTTCCACTGCGACATGGCCATCGGCAGCAGCTTCAGGGGCATCCCCCGGACGAAGACCATTCGGTCCATGACGCCCTCGGTGAACCACGCCATCTTGAGCTTTTCCATCAGCTCTTGCTTCAGTTCTCGATAGTCTGGGTTGTCGATCTGGTTGCGCATCTCGAGGGGGTCTTTGTCGAGCAAAAAGAGCTGCGATCGGGGCAGCGAGCGGGCCCTCGTGCGGTCGGGGATGTCACGGGGGTAGATGACCAGCTTGGCTGCTCGGGTGCCGTTGATGCCGTCCTCACGCCACGCATGCACCTCGGGCACACTGATCCAACCAACACAAAGGAAGACGGTTTGTGTGTTGTGTTATGAGCGCATCAGTCAGCAATATACTGGACTGACCCCCAGAATTGTTGAACGAAGAAGTACGAGTAGAGGAATCCCGTCCGCCAGAGGTCGGCGGGGTCGGCCTCCCCCGTGAGGAGCTGCTTAAAGGACCTGCCGTTCATCTCGGGCGGGATGGGGGCGCCGGCAAAATCTAAAATGGTCGGGGCGATGTCCACATTCAATATGGTGTTCATCTGGGGCGGGCAGAGAGAGACAGACAGGGACAAAGGAACGAACAGGGAGGTCCCTTATGCTGTGTCATCAGATGTTGTGTGTTCTGTGTCCTTGTGTATGGGCTGTGTCCTTGTCTGTGTCCATACGATGGGTTTGAGTCCGCCCCCCAGTCGCGGGTATCTGAGGAGAAAGGGGATCCTGATGCCCTCCTCATACGCCAGCCGCTTGTCATTCAACGAATGGGAGCCCAAGAAATACCTGCACTCACACCACACCACACACAGATAGACGAGACGCATCATGGAAGCGCACTGCACTCATGCTCCCTCCCACTAACTGACGCACCCGTTGTCCGAGTAGTACATGACCATAGTGTCGTCGGTCATGTTGAGGTTGTGCAGCGTCTTGAGCACACGGCCCACATTCTCGTCGACGGCCTTGAGCAGCTGGAAGTACTTGACCTTCTCCGCCTGAGGGAAATGCACCACGCGCTTGCCCTGGAACGGACGCTTGAACCAATTCGCCGGCCTACACAACACAGCAAGGCGAGTCGTTGCCTGCATGCCTTGACGGCTGCGTGTTTGCCCAGATCTTACTCGGGCATCTCTGCGTCTTTGTAGAGATTCTCCAGTCTCTCTGGCGGCTCGCGAGGCTGACCCGAGACACATGAAGCAGACACAGTGAAACCAGCAGTGCAACACCCACCCCACGCACACACCCCAGCAACACACCCGCCCGCCGACCCACCCACCTCATGTGGCGCCTTAAATCCCAGAATCATAGCGAAGGGCTGGTCGGACTTGGCCCGTTTCTTGAGGTAGTCGATGGCGTAGTCGGTGGCGATGTCGTCGACATAGCCCTCCGACCCCACCTCGTGCTTGCCGTTGATGGTGAAGGGCTCGTTCTGGTAGATGCCTTGGCCCAGGTACGACGCCGCATAGTCGAAGCCAGGACGGATCAGCTGCTCTCCCATGTGCCTGGCAGAGAGAGGGGGGCAAGAGAAGCGCAGAGAGAGAGAGAAACCATGGACAGCCTGTCAGCACCAGGAAGAAGTGGCGCACCATTTGCCGATGTAAGCCGTGTGGTATCCGACGAATCGCAGCCTGTCGGCGAAGTTGAGTCTGTCTGCGGGGTAGATGGACTCGTTGTCAATGACGCCCGTGATGTGGGAGTACTGCCCCGTCAGTATCGACGCCCGTGAGGGGGAGCAGAGGGACGTCTGCACGTAGGCGTTCCTGCACACAACAACCCCCCACACACGGTGGGTGGCTTGGCTCCCTCATGGTTGTGTGCCCACCGCCGTGTAGCCCACCTACCTGAACCAAAAGCCTTCTTCTGCGATTCTGTCCATGGCTGGCGTCTGGTCCCTGAAAAAGGGATACAGCACCGCCTTGCCCATCTTGTCGTGTTCTCTCTGGACGAAGCCGATGGCGTCGTCCTGCTGGTCGTCACTGAACATCAGCACAAAGTTCGGCCGCTTTCTACCACACACACACGTAGAAAACAGCGCCGGCGCCAGCAGCAGCAGCCGAAGCAGAGGGGCTGCCCTGGGGCGTCTTCGTGAGGCCATCCTCTGCGGATGGGGACAGAGGAGGGCAGGGATCAGCTGCAGCTGTTTGCGAGGGAAACGCCTTGCTCCTTTGCGCGGCTTTGAACGTGCCTCTTTGGTGCTCTCCCCTTCTACCAGTCTGAAATAATATGACATACCTTGAGCGTCTATTTTCGTCATGTGTCTGAGGAGAGAGCACGTCCAGCAAGATGTGCTCAGGTCCAGCTTGGTGATCAGTACGGCGCGCCAGCCGCAACGCTTCCCTGAGCTGCATCAAGAGGAGTGACCGTCCCGGTGAGATGTGGCTCGGCTGCGCCTCCCTGCTCCTGTCCCTCGCTGCACTTCTCATCCCACAAAGCGAGGCGCAGGACGTCTTGACAGATCTGTACATCGAGCGCAACATCGGCGGGAGAGCCAAGGACACAGACCGAGATGAGCCAAGTGAGCAGGGACGGCTGCCAAGACCGCAAGGAGGCAGATGATTTGCTTGGTGTGGTCCAGGTGATGTGGACAGGTCATATGCGCACTTGGTCAAGTCCATCCCCGACACCGCTCGGCGGCTCTTCAAGCCCGAAAACGTACAGCTCGACACGCTGCTCTATCAGCTGCACTTCCTACACATCGAGCAGCGGCTGTTCGACCTACGCCGACAGGGCGTGTCGGCCGCACTCGCACGAGACGACCCATTCAGCAGCGACCACATGCGACTGCCTCTCGGCCGGTCTTTCCAGCACTGGCGGGGTGTCTTTCGCGATGAGGGCAAGCTGCGGAGGTTTGCCCGCGACACGGCAACGCAACTGTCCACCGACGGCATCGTTGTCGACATGGCCATCGACGAGTCGCGGTTAGGATGGAGCGGCGTCGACGGCCTTACCATGAAGCTTACGTCGTTGGGGCTCACGGGCATCAAACAGTTCAAAAAGGTCATGTCGGCGAGGCTACCATTCGACAAGATCGCCTACGTGTCCAGCATTCCAGGAATCCGCGTTCTTCGTGCCGCACAGATGCGCGTCATTCCGCCAGGGCCAAGCAGCCGGAGCAGCCAGGAGCTGCTACCCATGGACATGACCACACGAATGCTGGTGGGCAACACCACGTCTCAAGGCGACATCTCGATGCAGACCGATACTGTGCGGGAGAAGTATGGGGTCAGCGGGTCGACCCTGGCGTGTATCGGGGTGCTGTCTGATTCCTACAACGTCCGGAACAATGGCACTAACGCGGGCCTGCTGAAAGAGCTGGGCGACCTGCCGGAGCAGATCGAGGTGCTGGAAGATCTGCCGGCTGATTCTGGCGCGAATGACGAGGGCATGGGAATGATGGAGCTAATGTACAGTGCAGCACAGCACCCCCATCAAGACACACCCAGAGAGAGAGCCGGCACCCCTGTCGCTTGTTTCCTTACTGCACAGGTATGATGTGGCCCCTGGCTTGAAAGCGTTCGCCTTTCACACAGCATTTGGGGGGCAGGCGGGATTCGCGAATGGTATGCTATGACCGCGGTGACACACTTGCGGCTGGATGGCCACTTCGGCGCCCTCGCGTGTGTGTTTGTTGGCAGGCATTTTGGCTCTGGCCAATCAGTGCGAAGTGGTGGTGGACGATGTGATCTACTACAGCGAGCCCATGTTCGCCGATGGGGTGAGTGATCGATCACCGCACACCCACAACACGACACACATCGTGCGAATTCATGTGCGAATGCAGGCAATCGCTCAGGCCATTGACGAGGTGCATGCGATGAACAAGAGCTACTTTTCTGCCTGCGGCAACAACGCAGAGAGCGGCACTTTCGAGATATTCAACAAGGACCCAGAGCCCGAAACAATATACAAAGGCATCTGTAGGCACGCGACCCAACACGACACACAGGCAGACACCACATCATGACATGATGTGTGTGAGACACTGTGTTGTGTGTCAACAGTTGAGTCCAGCTACCAGTTTCACATTTTCAATGCCACCGACGCCACGTACCTGCCGGTCAACATCAGCGTCAACAGCACAGCCATCATCGTCATGAACTACGACCAAGACGTGAGCAGATGAAACCTCTCCTCTGCTGTGCTGTGCTGTGTCTGCATTCTGGTGTGTGTCGTGCCCTCGTTGTTTGGCTTATTGTCCTTTCTGTCTGTAGTACTTCTCTATCACAGGTAGCCGACAGAGAGACAGATGGCTGCATTCTGTCTGTCTGTCTGTCTGTCTGTGTGTCAGAGAACGGCACAGGAGCTGAAGCCGACATCGACATGTTTCTATACGACGAGTGAGTGGCCGACGCTTCCAGAGTAAGTGACACTGTATATGGCGTGTGGTATACGGGCACAGGAACGGCACGCAGATCCTCGAGTACAGCACGTCAGGAGGCAACGGTGACCCCATTGAGAGTCTCATATTCACGGCAAGACACAGGCGGAGGGGAGGGGAAGATACGGAGTGCACAAATGCACTTGGTATGTCTGATCGGTCAGAATGAAGGGCCATACGAGACCTTCCTTCTCCGCCTCGGCAAAGTTGCCCACAAGACACCGTGAGCAGCGGCGCCGCGCCCATCACAGACATTGAAATCTGTGTGCAAACAACATATTCATTGCTCTCAGTGGTGACGCGGTGAAGGCGGATCCCAACTTCATAATGCTCGTCTACTTCGGTGTCAGCCGTGACAACGACTTCATTTTTGGACCGTCCGAATACGGGTACAACACGCAAATGGGCAACAGACCGACAGCACGAGAGTGCATTCCACTGGCCCGGTCAACACATGCAATGCAATGCAGGCACTCGAACGCGAACGGTGGGTGTGGCGTGTGTGCGGCTGAATACCAAAACACAACGGCGTTCGGCAAGTTTGAGGTCACAAAGGTCAACTGGTACAGCTCTCAAGGTGGGCTGGGCGGGGTGGGGTGGTCGCCATCCTTTTCACATGACATGCAGATACACGTCTATGAAGGGCTTGTTGTCCCTCAATGATGCAGGCGGTGCGCCCATCTTTTTTGACCCGGACGGTACGCGGAAGGCAATCCCTCAGATACGTGAGAGTCCTTACGTCTGCGGACCAGGTAGGTGGTGAATGCACCGCACCACACTGCATTCATTGCCCCTGTCTGTCTGTCTGTCTGTCTGTCTTGTTCTGTGTATGTTGTATGTACATTATGCATGTCTGCAGATGGTGCCAACACCAACCTGTTTCCGCCTCGCGAGTACATGACCCCAGAAAGAGACAGAGAAGGCGACGGTGAGTGAGGCAGTGAGGCAGTACACGGTCGAATAGAGAGGAGGACACACGACCGTGCATGGGATGCTGCGGCCGCTGCTGGGCCTGATCAGGACTCCCCAACTTCTTTGGCACGTCGGCTTCGGCGCCCCACGTGGCGGCCTTGGCGGCCCTCATCAAGGACTACAATAAAGACCTCACGCCGGATCAGATAAAGAAGCTGCTGGCGGACACGGTGAGCTTAAACGGCTGGTGCAGTGGGCTTGGGTGGGTATATCTGCGTGTGTGTTGTTTGCAGGCACAGGATATGGATGGTACAGTACGCAGCCGCGCGCGATAACGAACTGGAAGGGGGCATCTGCGTTGTCTTAATTGCGTGTGTCGTGCTGCGTACTGCCTGCCTGAACTACAGATGAGTCGACCGCCCATTTTGATGAGAAATTCGACTTCAAGACGGGTGGGCCGGACACAGACAGACAGACAGACGTCTGTGTCTCTCTCTGTCTCTCTCTGTCTGTCTTCCTTCCTGTGTCCCTCCAGGCTATGGATTTGTCAACGGCTCAGCAGCATTCGAGGAGCTGGAGACCCTTGTCACCATCGCCACCGGATCTGACGACGACTACGATGAAGACCGCTTACGCAGGGAGGCATTCGACGCGGTGCGCCGGCCAAACGACAGGAGGGAGGAGGTCCTGCTGGAGCATATGGCCCACACACAGGCCACGGGGGCTGGCCTCGTGTCCGTCTACAGTACTACTCTGAGAGAAGAAGATGAATACGGAGGCAGCTAGACGCCAGGTGTGCCGCGCTTCCTGTCGCTCGAGTTGATGCGTGGATGAAGGTGTCCACACACGGCGTGTCTCGGTTTCCCAACGTGTCATCCAATTAATGTCGTACACAATTAGTCAATCATAGCCTTTTTGCTGTCTGTCTGTCTGCTGTCTGTGTCAATCATTGCTGTTGGATTTTGTGGAAGGGGCTTTTTTGCCATCAGCCATCCTGGCTACGTTTATGTATTTTGTGTTCACGTGCGTGTGATGAGAACAAGAGTAAGGACTCTTGGCAATGCGTCGTGTCTCGTGTCTTTGTGTGTCGTGGTTGAGCTTTGTGTGCGGTGTCTGTCTGTCTGTCTGTCTGTGTGTGAGTGTGTGTGAGTGCGTGTGTCTGTGTGGACAGCCATGGGATGTTGCATGTCTCTTCGCCTGGCCGTCACACGTTCATGCTCACGCAAACCCATGCATCTTGTGTCTCGCCAACTCGAACGGGCAGCAGGGTCATATCTTCGAGTTTTCCATTCTTGTCTCTATCGAGATCTCTGTGTGCACCTCACAGATGGACCGTTGTCTGCCGAGATCGCCTGGGTCCAGCGTGCTCGCAGACTCGCTCCCCGACGGCACTTTCGGCCAATTTCGATATGGCAGGGAGGGATGGACGCACTCCGTCGTGTGAGACGCGCAGAAAGACAAGTGAATGCGCTTGTTTGTCACTGGGTGGGTGCAGTGCGGCGGGTGAGTGGAAAGGTATACGCAGCTGCGTCAGGCCTGGCCTGATGACAGTGTTTGTCAGGTTGCGCCGATACAGTCGATCGACTTATGCGTTGCTAGCATGACTGCAGACATTTGAGTTACTCTCTATTCATTCACAACACACACCCACAGTAGAGCTAAGCCGGCGGGAAAACATCAGCCTTGTCCCACCGCAAAGACAAGACATGCGATTGTCGTTTCAACCCAATGCGTGAAAGAGTTGAAGCCACTGGTTGGATACACTCAGTCAGACAAGGCACACGCGATGAGCACGCAGGTCACGCCATACGTTAGACTCACACATGCCATAAACCGTCCAGTACACACAACAAGCGCGTCGCAGACAGGCAGAGACAGACAGAGGGACACTTGTTGCTTGGCTGTCGGTCTGTCTGCCTGCCTGCCTGTCTGTCTGTCTCATCCTCAAGCAATCGTAGTCTCAACTACCCTATGCCACCCATTTACGGTTATAGAAACTCGTGCTCCCTTCGCCACACCTTGCCCCCCAGCTGATCCCCCAGCACTCTCATCACCACAGTGCGCGTCTGGTCGTGGGGGGCCGACTCGGTCGTGTAGATGTTCACAGAACGATAATCCCTCTCCCCCATGAATTCAGCTGTCAGCAGAATAGCTGCCGCCTGTCTCTCGCCCATCGCCTCACTGCCCAGCACCATCCCCCGGTAACGCCGTCCATCCTCCATTACCTTGCTGTCAAATACGGCCGCCTCCCACTGTGCCGCACCGCTCTGAGGGGCCGCCAGCAGCTCACCCACACGCTGGTGTGCAGCATCTGATGCTATTGATGTGGATATTTGCCAGCCAGAGGAACAGCTCGAAGGCCACAATGGACGTGTAGTTGGGGTACGTCCCGCCGTCCAGCTGTGTGGGCGGGTCGGCGGGGTCGAATGCGGCATGAGGGAAATCGGGGCTGGCAGAGGTGACGAGGGTGGGGAGCTGATAATAGAGCATACAGTGGCCTCCTGACGATGCTTGATCGCGGCCGTGATGGCTCCCGCCTCCCCTCCTCCCTCTCCCTCTCCCTCGTCTCCTCTTCTGCTTCTTCCACCACACACGCCAGCGCCCTGTCATCGTCACTGCCCTCCGACACGTCGCCATCCGCATCACCACGGTCTCTACCCCTCCTCTGCCGCCGCTGTATCTTCATATGACGCTTCAGCAGGCCCAAGTGCTCCTTCGTCAGCGTCGCCGGCACCCTCTCCCTCTCCTTCTCTCGCGGGTGGTCGGCACCCTTGAGGATGCTCGTCTTCAAAGCGGTCTTCTTGTGTGGTGGGATGGGCGAGGGGCCCTCTGAGGTGTCACGGTTGGGCTGCGGGTGATGGTCAGGTGACGAGTGCGGCGCCCTCGGGCGATAGGGGGATGGCGACTCTATCCACTGCTTGGGCGAGAGGGAATGCATCGAGCCAGGGGCGGATGGCGAGGGCCTTATCGGACTGACACAGGCATGCACTCGCGATGGAGCTGGAGCGGAGGATCCCATCGCCGCTGATTCATCGGAGCGCTTCTTGGAGGTGTCGAGGCGGCTCTGGTAGGTTTTGAGCAGCTCCAGGGACTGCTGGAACTTGTCGCGGAGGCTGGAGGCCTCTGCAATGACCTGGCTGTGCTTGGCGCGCAGGCTGCTGACTTGCGTTTCGGCCGATTGCCGCTGCCGCCGCTCCTCAGAAAGCCGCTTGATGAGCTGGCCCACTCGCTGCTTGTCCAGCGGGTGCAGGTCCTTCAGGCGCGGCGCATCCGGTTCGGTGATGTCATCCATGAGAAAAAAGGTCGACCAAGAGGCTTCTCCAGCCGGCAACGCTGCTTCTACACAGCCGGTAACCTTTTCGTCCACACGACCCCACACAGAATGCCGAGAGAGAGCGGTTTCACGAAATGTCCTAAGCGGCCTGACGGCCAAGTCCCATGTCTCACGCACAATCAAACGACGACACGCAACAGGAATCACCCACGCACGCTCCACATGAATGCCGAGAATTTGCGAGCTTGTGAGCGTGCAGAGAAGGAGCTCTCCACTCCAGCCGTCCTCCAGACACGTACATACTCAACGACGAAGCGGGAGATCTAAGGTCTACCTTGTCGTTAAAAGAGAGACGAATTACTGTCGGTGGGGCTCACCCCCACGTGGAGTGAAGGGGAGCGA